CTCTTGGCCATCCTCCTGTCCTCCCCCTTCCCTCCTGCTCTTCCTCCCTCTCCCCCTCACTTCTCGCCTCTCCCTTCCCTCCCTCTCTCCTTCACTTCTTGGCTCTCCCTTCTCTCCCTCTCTCCTTCACTTCTCGGCTCTCCCTTCTCTCCCTCTCTCGTCCCCTTCTGTCCTCATAGTTCCCTCCCTCCCTCAGTCACATTTCTCCTTCCCTTCACCAAGCAACACTACAAACAAATCTCTCTACGGCGGAAAAAACTTCAGAAAAGAAGCATATCGATCAAAACCTTTGAATTTTGAAACAACAAAACCCATAACCAGTCGAGTTCGAAAGAAGTCGAACGCTGACAAAAGCTTTCTACTGAACTCGTCAAGGGCTCGAAAAAGCTCAAAAGCTGCAAAATCTTTCTACTAAAATTTTCTCTTACAATTTAAAAACCATACGCAGAATCTTCAACATTAAGTCTCTCAAAGTGTTATGTACGACTCTACTCAGCCTCTCTGCTGAGAGCGCTGCAATGGTAAAGAAATCAGTTAGGACGAAGAAAGACGGTGGGCTATGTCCTAGCATTTTTCGCGAAAGCAAAGTTCCTATAGCATGGAGAGAAATGCCCATGGTCATGACTGTGTTAGAGAAAAAATCCTTCTTAACCTGCGACAGATGATGATTGTCCACTGGTTTTCTCAGCCAGATAGTGATCGAGCATGTCATCTTCGTCAATGTCTGCACGCACACATCCAATACCCACCACTTGTCAGCTTTCTTTACGTCAACTCTTTTTTTTTTTTTTTTTTTTTTTTTTACAAAGAGAAAGGAAAGAAAAAGCAAGGTACCTGCACCTCCTATCCTAGGGAGCAAGTTCAGCGCAGGCGTGCGTTAAAACATGGGAGTAGTCCTGAGCAAAGGCTTTCTCTATTCTCTCTGTCTTTCTTTTCAGGCAATAAATCTATTGGAGGGAACCCTGAGCAAAAGTTGCTGCCTGCCTGCACTTCATGAAACAGTGGAGAAAGTCCCACCACAGTCTTTAGAAAAGCCAAAGGCGACACTCGCACCGAGCAGATCACATAAGAACATAGTGTCATTTCACTAAGCACTCTAGCATTCCGCCACTGCACCTGCAGCTCGCATCATGCCATGAAGTTATCGACGGTCGAATCACAGCTGGCCACGTTAGTCAAGTCTTGTCCAGATTGTGAAAAAGGACAATGC